AAAGTTAGCTTATGAGAGGTTTTTACAAAGCAGAAGTGTTATAAGAAGAGTAGAGTATATGGAGAGTAAAAGAAAGGTGAAGAGAGTGGTGAGAGAGTGCAAAAGGAGAGCAGATGATAGAGTGGAAAAGGCACTGTCAAGGAATTTTAATGAAAATAACAAAAAATTTTGGAGCGAGTTAAACAAATTAAGAAAGCCTAGAGAACGAATGGATTTGTCAGTTAAAAACAGAGTAGGGGAGTTGTAGATGGGGAGATGGAGGTTTTGGGTAGATGGAGAGAATATTTTGAGGAACTTTTAAATGTCGACGAAGAAAGGGAAGCGGTAATTTCATGCACTGGCCAGGGAGGTATACCATCTTTTAGGAGTGAAGAAGAACAAGATGTGAGTGTGGGGGAGGTGCGTGAGGCATTACGTAGAACGAAAGGGGATAAAGCAGCTGTAGCTGATGGGATCATGACAGAAATGTTAAAAGCAGGGGGGGATATAGTGTTGGAGTGGTTGGTATTTTTGTTTAATAAATGTATGAAAGAGGGGAAGGTACCTAGGGATTGGCAGAGAGCATGTATAGTCCCTTTATATAAAGGGAAGGGGGACAAAAGAGACTGTAAAAATTATAGAGGAATAAGTTTATTGAGTATACCAGGAAAAGTGTACAGTAGGGTTATAACTGAAAGAATTAGAGGTAAGACAGAATGTAGGATTGCAGATGAGCAAGGAGGTTTCAGAGTGGGTAGGGGATGTGCAGATCAAGTGTTTACAATGAGGCATATATGTGAACAGTATTTAGATAAAGGTAGGGAAGTTGTTATTGCATTTATGGATTTAGAAAAGGCATATGATAGAGTGGATAGGGAGCAATGTGGCAGATGTTGCAAGTATATGGAATAGGTGGTAAGTTATTAAATGCTGTAAAGAGTTTTTATGAGGATAGTGAGGGTCAGGTTAAGGTGTGTAGGTGAGAGGGAGACTCTTCACAGTAAAAGTAGGTCTTAGACAGGGATGTGTAATGTCACCATGGTTGTTTAATATATTTATAGATGGGGTTGTAAAAGCAGTAAATGCTAGGGTGTTCGGGAGAGGGGTGGGATTAAATTATGGGGAATCAAATACAAAATGGGAATTGACACAGTTGCTTTTTGCTGATGATACTGTGCTCGTGGGAGATTCTAAAGAAAAATTGCAAAGGTTAGTGGATGAGTTTGGGAGTGTGTGTAAAGGTAGAAAGTTGAAAGTGAACATAGAAAAGAGTAAGGTGATGAGGGTATCAAATGGTTTAGATAAAGAAAAATTGGATATCAAATATGGGTGTGAAGCTTGGGTTGTGAATGCAGCAGCGAGGAGGTGGCTGGAGGCAGTGGAGATGTCCTGTCTAAGGGCAATGTGTGGTGTAAATATTATGCAGAAAATTCGGAGTGTGGAAATTAGGAGAAGGTGTGGAGTTAATAAAAGTATTAGTCAGAGGGCTGAAGAGGGGTTGTTGAGGTGTTTTGGTCATTTAGAGAGAATGGATCAAAGTAGAATGACATGGAGAGCGTATAAATCTGTAGGGGAAGGTAGGCGAGGTAGGGGTCGTCCTCGAAAAGGTTGGAGGGAGGGGGTAAAGAAGGTTTTGTGGGCGAGGGGCTTGGACTTCCAGCAAGCGTGCTTGAGCGTGTTAGATAGGAGTGAATGGAGACGAATGGTATTTGGGACCTGACGATCTGTTGGAGTGTGAGCAGGGTAATATTTAGTGAAGGGATTCAGGGAAACTGGTTATTTTTACATAGCCGGACTTGAGTCCTGGAAATGGGAAGTACAATGCCTGCACTCTAAAGGAGGAGTTCGGGATATTAGCAGTTTGGAGGGATATGTTGTGTATCTTTATAGGTATATGCTTCTAAACTGTTGTGTTCTGAGCACCTCTGCAAAAGCAGTTATTATGTGTGAGTGAGGTGAAAGTGTTGAATGATGATGAAAGTATTTTCTTTTTTGGGGATTCTCTTTCTTTTTTGGGTCACCCTGCCTCGGTGGGAGACGGCCGACTTGTTAAAAAAAAAAAAAAAAGTGTGTGTAAGATTTACCTGCCACTGTGTAGCAAAATATTTCTCCAAATTATACAGTATTAATAAAGTGAACTCTAGAATTTCTCTCTAGAACATCAGCCATTTCTCACCAGAAAGAGTGTCCCAAATTGATTACATTTAATATCATATTATAGCTGTCATGCTAGAAGTACACAGACATGACAGTTCAAGTGAACCCTTGAGCCACAGTATTCCCACCCAGCCATCAGAGTGCAGGAACTTTAATTCCTACTAGTAGAGAACTCAAGCCTGGTAAACCAGTTTTCCTAAATCTTTCGTAAATTTTATCTTGCTGACACTCAAATCCCAAAATACCATTGTCAACACTCCTAACCAACATAGTTCCACATGTTTGCTGGAATCTTCAACCCTTACAACTTAACATTTGGTTACCACAATATTAATTATATATAAGCTAATATGTGTACATACAATGCCAGTTCATAAATCCTGTCACTGTCCCTTATGTATATAAATGTTATTGAGGACAATGACATTTATATATATATATATATACAAATGTGTAAATTCTCACACTTTTAAATTTGATGCAATACTTCTGGAAGGCCTGGGTATGAAAGGACACATCAGAGTGGTTTGTGTGTGCAGCAATTTTCACCATGACGTGCTGTCAGGATACTCTTACTCCATGAATTGTATATCATTCATTACTCTCCAGCAACATTACTCTCTAACAACATGGATAGAGATTCTGGAAATGAATTCTATAGTTTTGAGAATAGTGACAGAAAGTGATAGGGAAATGTTGGGAACAGTGATGGAAATCCAGATGACTCCTATCATCCACCTCAGATGTCAATATATGTACAACACTCGCACACCATAAGTGAAAGCCAATATTCTCCAGTGCTAGATGCACTGATGACAGTGATGATGACTTTTACTTCCTAGAAATTGATCATCAGACAAATTATAAAGGATGACTACTCACCTGTGAAGCATCAATTTATTCAGCAGAATTAATAAACTGGCAGTGTGTCTAAGAATATTCCAGTGGTATGGGTAGTGGGTCATGGGCAATGTTTGCTAAATACTTAACACCAGGGACAAATAAGCAAGCAACACCAGTGCCAGTCCCAGAATGGAGCCAGGTCCCACACCTCAACCACCCCAGGCCATGTCCAACACACACACAACTACCTCAGGCAGCATCCACTACACACAACCACCCCAGGCCATGTCCACCACACATATAACAACCACAACCAGTTGTAATTATCTTGTAACCATCACCAGACCATGTCTGGGACTGGGAGGAAGATGCTCATTTTGTGCCCAGTCCCCATCAATTCAACAATACACACACACAGATTGTACCCTGAGGGACAACTCCAACAAACTTTATTTCTTTGGCTTATATTTCAGTGAACCTATATTAAAAATGATAGTGATGCCAGCCAAAAGATACTACTAGTATACAATGACAAGCATGTTCAGCATGGTCACAACTTCACAAGTGGAAAGATACAAATTGTGGCTGAGATGTATTTCACACTTATGTTACATTTATAAGCACAATATGCACCATACTGGTTGGCTGGCCACCTAATATTTACCCAGGCATTCACAGATCTCATCTCTGTCAACACATTTATCCTGATGCTGAATATTCTACACTTCTCTCACGAGATGAGACTCAATAGAAGTGACATGCTATGTACAAGATTAGGGATGTTTTAATGTACCTGAAAAATAGGTTCAGTGTGCTCTTTTATCCCTTCCTGAACCTTGTCACTGATAAGTCACTGGTCTGAGTTAAAAGCACACTATCATTCAAGAAATAAATATCAAGCAAGAGAAAATTCATACCTAAGTGTCATACATGTCTGATCCAATGAAGGGAAGGATAGCTAAAAATCTTGGGATCATGAGTTAATCACCATCATCAAGGCACCCTCAATGAATGGAAATATTCTAGGAAGAGCCTTCAGTAAAAATAAAAAAGGATTTAAGAGCACAATTCTAAAGGTGCAAGTGTACTGGGTAACAAACCCGCTACATACAGGGCAGCCCCGCATGTACACTTCCCTCTTTTAAGTGTTCCAGGTTTTTGCTGGCTTTCAATTGAGCCATTGTTCATTATGTTCGATGCTCTTACTGCTTTTCCGATATTTTCATACAATAGTTGTGTAAGGGAAGGGCGACCAGCACAACATTTTAAGGCTCTGCTCGCATTAAAATACAGCGCTGGTCACCCTTGTGATGTCTATCTTAATAAATGATAACATATTATCAGGTGTTTTAGCTGCATCTCATAATGAAAAAAATGTTCTTTTTCCAACCACCAGAGATTTTCACTTATTGTTTGGGGGTCACAAACCTTAGAGCCATACGAATGGGAACATCCTGTACGTATGTACCTGTACCAGTATTGAGGGGTCTTCAACTCTTAATACCTTATAAATACATAGTTATAGGTAGTAGGTTGGTAGACAGCAACCACCCAGGGAGGTACTACCATCCTGCCAAGTGAGTGTAAAATGAAAGCCTGTAATTGTTTTACATGATGGTAGGATTGCTGGTGTCTTTTGTCTGTCTCATGAACATGCAAGATTTCAGGTACGTCTTACTACTTCTACTCACACTTAGGCCACACTACACATACATGTACAAGCACATATATACACACCCCTCTGGGTTTTCTCCTATTTTCTTTCTAGTTCTTATTCTTGTTTATTTCCTCTTATCTCCATGGGGAAGTGGAACAGAATTCTTCCTCCGTAAGCCATGCGTGTTGTAAGAGGCGACTAAAATGCCGGGAGCAAGGGGCTAGTAACCTTTTCTCCTGTATATATTACTAAATGTAAAAGGAGAAACTTTCGTTTTTCTTTTAGGGCCACCCCGCCTCGGTGGGATACGGCCGGTGTGTTGAAAGAAAGAAAATACATAGTTTAAAAGGAAAGGTAAACTTACATCAAGGAGGAACTGAAGTGCTCTATAGTTGGCATCCTCACGACCAGACATATTTTCAGCCACATAATTAAAGGCACACAACATGGCTAGCCCAGCGTCGTCGTACCCACGCACAGACTCGTCTGAATTAACAGCCATCACCAGACCAAGGCGCACTGGTGCACTGTGCGTCACAAAGCTTTCAATTAATCTTATTAGATCTGCTGTAGTTGATTTGCTTGGATCAGCTACAATTACCTGAAAATTGTATGATTAATCAATATACATGTACAGTATTATTATTATACATAAATGAAGATTTTTAATGAAACATACATTGCAGGATAAATTATTAAAAGCAAGGTACATAATTTACACACAGGTGATAAATTCTGCATATCTGTATTAGAACTGGATATACATAGTAATTGAAGGAAAGCTTTTTATGATTAACATAATTGACACATATTCAGATATTATTAACCCTTTCATGGTGGGTCTCGTTATACTACGGCTTTGAAGCCAAGGTCGGTCCTGTAGTACTATGCCATGAGCTTGGCTAACTCTGGTAAGCTGTGAGTGGTAAACTTGGGCCTAGATATGAGAGAACAGGTCTGTGCAGTAAGTGAGCACCATACAAAAATCCTGCAGCAAGGAGTGCATAATGGGAAAAACTGCAACCATATTTTTGGTTTAATACAGTGACTTTGCAGTGTACAGTAGTCCCCCCCAAATTCGTGGGGTTACGTTTCAAAACCACCTGGGAATTTGGAAAAATCACGAATTCTGGACACTGTTAAAAAAAAATGCCTATAAATGCCTGTTTTTATAGTTCAAACCCTAAATATGCCCCCAAAGCACTTTAACCCTTTACTGTTTTGGTCGTATATATACGTCTTTCGAGCCACTGTTTTTGACGTATGTATCCTCATAAATTCTAGCAGCTTTAAATCAAGCAGGAGAAAGCTGGTAGGCCCACATGTGAGAGAATGGGTTTGTGTGGTCAGTGTGCACCATATAAAAAAATCCTGCAGCATGCAGTGCATAATGAGAAAAAAAAACTCCATTTTTTTAATTAACCCCTTGACTGTCGCAACCCCCAATCCTGAGGTGTCTCCTGGTGTCGCAAAATTAAAAAAAAAAAAAAAAAATTTCTTATGAAATGATAGAGAATCTTTTCCCAATTGTAATGACACCAAATTTGATGGGAAACTGACGGAATTATGCTCTCGTGAAGTTAGCGACCTCAGTGATATTTACAAATCGGCGATTTCGCCCACTTTGAGCCCTATTTTCGGCTAATTCTGTTGATCCAGTCGACCAAACTCATAGCTATTTCTTTAGAACTCCATTTTTTCTATCGATTGAGTACAAGAAACTGCCCATTTACCAATTTCAACTACCCAATAATGTGGTCAGAAATTTGCAATTTGGCCAATTTCACAAAAATAAAAAAATATGACAATTTCAAAATAAGGTCCAGAATGAATAATGCAGACATTCCTGGCTCTAAAATAACATTTTCTTTGTTCATCAGTCATGTCTCCAGGCCCCTCTGATATTACTCTTGCTTTCTATTTTGAATTTTTATTCAAACAAAAAACAGAAGACTTAATATTATGCAGACTACTGCAATGCTGTAATAATTGTATAAATAACATCAACCCATTCATGACTGCATATTAGAATGGCTAGTTGGACATTTATTGGACAATGACATCATTTGTTTACTTTTGAACATGGGCAAAAATCAAACATTTCCCCTACTTTGAGCTCCATTTCCAGGTTCTTTTTATAGTAAAATCAATCAAAATCACCTCTATTTCTATAATATGTTTTCCATTCTATCAAATGAGACCAAGAAAAAGAGAATACAACCATAAATACTATACGAAAATAGACCACAAAGTCGGCATTTTAATTAAAAAAAACGGTCAGTTTTTTTTTTTTCTCATTATGCACTGCGTGCTCCAGGATTTTTTTTATATGGTGCACACTGACCACACAGACCCATTCTCTCACATGTGGGCCTACCAGCTTTCTCCTGCTTGATTTGAAGCCGCTAGAATTTATGAGTATATATACGTCAAACATGGTACCTTGTAAGACATATATATACGGCCGCGACAGTCAGAGGGTTAAAATGCCAACTTTGCGGTCTATTTTCATATAGTATTTATGGTTGTATTCTCATTTTCTTGGTCTCATTTGATAGAATGGAAAATATATTATAGAAATAGAGGTGATTTTGATTGGTTTTACTATGAAAAGAACCTGGAAATGGAGCTCAAAGTAGGGGAAATGTTTGATTTTTGCCGATGTTCAAAAGTAAACAAATGATGTCACTGTCCAATAAATGTCCAACTAGCCATTCTAATATGCAGTCATGAATGGGTTGACATTATTTAACCCTTTGACTGTCGCGGCCGTATATATACGTCTTACGAGGTACCATGTTTGACGTATATATACTCATAAATTCTAGCGGCTTCAAATCAAGCAGGAGAAAGCTGGTAGGCCCACATGTGAGAGATTGGGTCTGTGTGGTCAGTGTGCACCATATAAAAAAAATCCTGGAGCACTGCGTGCTCCAGGATCAGGGTCTGATCAACCAGGCTGTTACTGCTGGCTGCACGCAAACTGACATACGAACCACAGCCCGGTTGGTCTGTCTAATGAGTCCACAAATGCGCTGACATTATTTATACAATTATTACAATAATACAATAGTCTACATAGCAGTAAATCTTCTATTTTTCAAGTGAATAAAATTTCAGAATGGAAAGCAAGAATAATATAGGAGAGGCCTGGGGACACAGCTAATGAACAGAGGAAATGTTTTTTTTAGTGCCACAAATGTCAACATTGTTTATTCCGACCCTATTTTTAAATTGGTAATTTTTTAATTTTGTGTGAAATTGGCCAAATTACTGATTTCTGATCACTTTATTGGGTAGTTGAAATAGGCAAATGGGCAGTTTCCTGTACTCATTTGATAGAATAGAAGGAATATTAGTGAAATAGCTATGAGTTTGGTTGACTATAACAATGGAATTGGCTGAATATAGGACTCAAAGCGAGCAAAATCACTGCAGCATAAATATCGCCGAGACCGCTAAATTTGCAACAGCATAATTCTGTAAGTTTTCCGTCAAATTCCGTACTTTTGGTTTCACTGCCTTTGGAAAAAGATTCTCTATCGTTTCATAAAAAAAAATCATTTATTTCTTTAAATTCTTCAGCCCTGAGAGCAATTCTCATTTCAGGGGTTCCGACTCTGAAAGAGTTAAATACAATACCAACAAGGCTTCTGTCAAATACAAAGGTGACTTGAAATGTAGTAAACACCTCTGTATTCAACTGAAGAAGCCTCTTCAGCAGGTGAAGCATTTCAACAAGAGCAAGGCAGAGATGTATTTAAAACAAAGCAATGGTAGGGGAAAATATGGCGCACTGTGAGTTCATTTCTCTCCATCTCTGGATAGTAACCATAGCACCCAAGAGGAATCTGAATGATCCAAGAAGTGCAAAGAAGCAGAAGCCTGAAAGTATTGGTATTTTGAAGAAAATCAAGATATTAGATAAGCATGTGTGATAGAGACAACACGAACCTATGGCTTGAATGAGACATCCTTAAAAAAAAAAATTATTGAATGAGTTTACTGAGTGGAAAACCAAGAAAAGTGATCAATTTAATTTCATTTAAAAAAAAAGGAAAGAGCCTTAGAGCACAGTAAAACAATTTGTGATGTGGATGATGTGGAAGAATACTTATTTAGTACAGGGTAGTTCCACAAGTTCTAATTGTGCATTAGGTTGCATAATATTAAGCTTTCTGTGAGTACTGCTAACCACACAGTTGCAGGGAATTTCCCTGCTGAATCATAAGAAATTATTTCTGAGAGTGACTACAAGACTCAGCAAATGACGATGAGACAAATCATTATTAAAGAGAACTTATATCAACAAGTGAAAAGTGCTCCAGGATTCAAGGCAGGAAAGGATCGCTTCAGCTTGCTACTTTGTGGTAATGCATCAAGCAATTTTAAATTCAAGTCCATGCTTATTTACCACTCCAAGACTCCCTATGCTTTGAAAGGTACAGATAAAAAACCTTTACCAGTTATGTGGAGATCAAACCAGTGAGCATGGATGACAGAGGCCTTATTTCTTGACAGGTTTAAGCATCATTTTATTCAGGAAGTCATGTTTTAACATAGAACTTTTGTAGCATATGAACTCACATGTAAAAGTTGTGTTTTTACCACCAAACAACAATTGTAATACAACCACTACATCGAGGTATTATTATTATACCATTTAGCCCGTAAACGGTCCAAACGTATATTTACATTCACTACACCAGTGCCCCGAATATTTTGACAAATAAAAAAATCTTTTTTTTTATTGAAAAAAAGAGCACATTTTTCTAAGTGTTATAGGATAAAAAAAAAATTTAGTCAGTACTTATCGAGATATGAGGCCGCAAAGTTGGCACTTGGCGATCACCTGACGGCAACATGGAGAGCTGCCGCTAGCAAAAGTGTTGCCAATATACCTTTTTTTCTATTTTTCATATTATTTTATATAATTTTTGTGTTCTAATAATTACAATTTATAGTAGTTCTTGTCATTTCATAACCAATCTTTGTTCTGACATGAGTATTAGGTACTAAAATTTTGTCTCCATTGTCAAAACAATTGACGGGTGGAATTTACACCTCCCTTTGGGCCCCCATTTCTATTTCTTGGAATTATACAATATTTATATTTTCCCAGCAATGCTTTGGATATGGGGAAGTACGTGGTCCCTCAATAATCACCCTTAAATCTTTCCCGGGGAAGGGGGGACTTTTATCGAAATAGAGTTTTTTAAATAAATTTTCCCCAAAGAAAAATGTAATAAAATTTAAAACCTTCCGACACCAGAATTTTAAAACAAAAAATTTTTTTACATAAATATTCATGTAGTACTAAACAATAAAATGGACTTGGAATGAAACTTTAAACACATAACACTTCCCTTTTTTGGCGATTTTCTTGTGTATGGAAGATGGAGGAGGAAGAGTTTTGAATTACTGTTTGGAAGGGGAATCCCTTCCCCATCAACACCTAGGTACCAAGTGTTTTTCTGGGGTTATTTTCCCTTTCTTGTTTTTTAAATGCACTAGGACCGCTTGAGGTCACGGGAGTCCTGTCGAAAAAAAAAACTGTCCAAGAGCTCTGTTTTGGTGTCATTTAAAGTTCCCCTAAAAGGG